ATGCGGATCTGGGATAGATGATAGTTAAAGGAGTCCTTGTATATCTCATCCGGTTGAAGCGCTGTAAATGGTGTCAAGAGGTGGTTCGTGGCTGTATACGCAGCAATAGCAACAACGTACAAGCCCCGCTCCAAGGTTTCAATCACGCGAGGAAGCCCGCTGTCATCGTAAGCTCTCGAGTCGTTCACTCCGCCGGGATGTGATGCTTCCACAAAGACGAAGCGGCTGAAGGCATCACAGCATGCCTGTACGTTAATTCCGGGACGCATGTAGTGGCCACTGAAATACCGGCGCGCCCCCGCTGCGCTGCCAGCATCATTATCGGATGGTGCCTGAATATTACAAAGCCATCCGTCCATAGCGACCACGCAGCCATTCATGACTTGTTCGTTGCTCCTAGCCGAAAAAGCAGCCGCTGCAGATTCTCGTTCGGTTGGAGCCGTGGGAAATGATATTTGCAGCGCTGGAACCCCGATAATTGCGCGCATCACATCCTTGATTATTCGATAGCAGTAGGATCGATCAACACCGCCAGCCCTCCGTAAATCGTCAACCAAGCCTCCACAGAGGAAGCGGATCGTCATCTGAAGCTTGTTCTCCACGCTTACAGGACTTCGATTCGTCCAAGCGCGTGCAGGGCGATCTAACTCAACGAGCAAGCCACACAGTCGCTCAAAAGAGGCAGACGACATTCGGTACGTACGTTTAAACTCTCCCTCGTACAAGAGCCGTTCCATCTCCAGATTCCATCCCAGTCTTAAGCGAGACTGCTGCGTTCGACGGTTTCTTTCCTCCTCCTCCTGCAACACTAAGGCAATTGCGAGCCATCGCCGGCGCCGTCGGTTGCGATCGCTACGTCTATCAGCCCTGAGCATGCCCCCTCGTTCTTCAAATTCTTCAGAAGTGAGACAAGTGGGAGCTTGGAATATAAACGAGGCTTTTCCATCCGGCGAATTTTGCTCTAAAATCACCCACCCTCAACACTTCGTAATTAACTCTGGGCTTGTCGCTCAGCTTGCTCAGCTTTAAGCCTTCTTTATAAGCGCATAAATTAGCACGACAAGCTCCTGGGTGCGGGATCGGGCTTCGTTGCGGTCACGGCGGGCCGTTCCTCCATTTCGAGTCTTTCAGCGCGGCGGCGCTCGTCGGAATCGGCCTTCTCTACAAGCCGACGTGCTTCTTGGGCTACCAGCTCGTCTCGGCGGCGCTGTTCATCATCCACACAATGGATCTCCGCTTTACGCTCGTTTCCTTCGCGTAGAAATAAAAGGGTTTCAAGAATGCTGCTACCCGCTGAGTTGGAAGCTTTCTCGATCCCGTCAAGGTTCGTCTTGAGTGCGGTGGTGGTTTTCATGGCGCGGGTCCTCTTGGTTTTCATGGCGCGGGTCCTCTTTTGCGTAGCTAGCCTCGAGCACCTCTTTGTCATCTTCACTCGATCGCTTGGCCCCCACCGTATCACGTAAAACGGTCAAATCTGATTCACCAAGGCGGTTTGAATAGTGCAGCAGTTTTGGATACTTTGCCTCTTCGTGTTCGTCACGATTCGAGCCGGTGCGCCCCTGATCCGAGGGTTGGTGCGTCAGTGTTGCTGCGTCACTGGCTGTGTAGTTGACAGCGGTCTGCGGGAGACCTCCCGAACCTGTGCGACGACAGTTCTACGACGATGGAAGTGGCCCTGGAGGCGGTGTTGTGGCTCGTGATGAGCTTAGTGTAATATCGTCCAGCTCATTGGAGCTCAGCGAAGCTTCGAGAAGCTCCTGGAACTTCCCTCGGCTGGGCGAGCGACCGGAAACCGCTGACTCCGTGTCACCAGAGCCATTGGTTATGGAAGATTCTCAACGACGCTCGGAGCCAGCAGCACCAGGATCAGCAGGTGCAGGCAAGTCCTCCCTCTCGTCGTCCTAATAGAATGTGTCGTCGGGATCCACCTCGAAGCAAAAGTTGGTTTCGATGCCGCGATGGTCGTCGTCAACGCCGTCGTCCAGCTCGACCACGCTCGCCTTCTCGTCGATGGCTTGCCTGACCTCTTTCGCCCTCTTGATGTGTGGCGGCATGTCCGGCACACCTGTGGGCTTCCTAGTACCGTACAAGACTGTGAGCTTGCGTCTCAAACTCTCAAAGTCTCTCTCGGGTGCACCTCGGGGCCGGTTCGCGTTGTAGGATAGCGCAAGACGCTCTTACTCGTCCTTTCATGACGGGAGCGTCTTCTCAACGAGGAGCAACAACCGTTCGATGTCGCCCATGGAGTATTTGCTTGTACCCGTGTTCCTAACCATCTATAGTAGCGATAGCATCGAAAAACGAAGGGTAAGTTAGCGTGTCCGATGCAGGTTCGAGCGTGGTGAAGCCGTACCGCTTGTAGGTCGGAGTAGTGGAGTGCTTGTCGCGTGGCGAAAGGAAAAATGATCGTCGCAGTCGTCCTCACTTCGGCGCCAGCGCAACAAAGCCACGGATAGAGAGCCATGCACACATCCACTATAACTGAAGCTTTAACGTGTTGCGCGCGAAATCTACGCGCGCAAAACGCAGAGCGGCACGCCTACATAAAGCGAGATGTTTGGCGGCAAGCCTTCGCGCCAACACTTCGAATCTACTTGAGGAGGAGCCGCACGCCAGTATCCACGTCAACACTGCGGCATATCGCCTTATTCGATAAGTTTCAATACGGAACATCAGTTAAATTGATGAATATGGCACTTCAATGTCTTTGAGCGCGATTTACCTCACGCATGCACCTATACAAACAACTACCTTTCCATCCCTCTCGCTGTTCTGTTCAAGGGTCCTCCTCGTCTTGAATATCGCGATGGCGACACCTAGCCGACTGGCATTTGCAGACGAACCACAGATCATCGCCGTAGTCAGCCGTGACCTCTTGGCCGCGGCGGACATACTTGGTGCTCGCGACGACAACAGTCACGCGACGACCGTTGCCGACCTCGACGAACTTAGCCACCGGCTCGCATGAGTGGTTAACGAATCTCATTAACGCACCCATCTTCTCCGCATTAATCGCAGCACGGACCGGCCAACTTGGGCGTTCAGGTCGCTGGTTCAGTAGGAGACGATACCCAGTGTTGCGCGGTCGTTCGGAGCGTACAGGACTGACGTGTTCGATCTCGCCGGGATACTGACCCAGCACCTCGCCGGTATCAATGTCGTCAGCGGCAATGATCGCCAAGGTGTTCGTGGGCGGTTCCGCGTCAGAAGCACCTTATCGGACTCCGCCAGCCCGTTGCCGCATGTGCCACCATAAGGCCAGGAGTTCGCGTTGCAGAACAGATGCATTAGCGAGTTCCGACACGAGTCTACTCGACACGGGTACACCATCCGAAGTGCTGAACTATTGGGAAGAGGGTCGCCAGCGGGTTATACAGCTCGCGCAAGTGAGCAACGCGACACGGCCATCGTGCGGGTACGAATGCGTCGTGCGGCAGCGAAGTAGAGGCCAAGCGCAACGAATCGAGGGGTCCGGCGCGTCTATCCTCACAGTGAGCATGTAAGTGATGGCAAGAGTGCGAGCGACGCTGCGTCTGTGGACGGGAGTGTGGCGCAGCTAATTCACGGCGGGTACGACGCTTGCCTTGACGTGGTCGAGGTGCTTTGCGCTGTCTTAGACGTGGTGGGACCTCCAAGAGCACCGGAGACGATGTAGTCGGACTCAGGCACATAAGAATGGTAGGCGGTGGTGAAGGGTGCGCAGGTGGTGCTTCACAGCTTGGTCGTGGACTCGCCACCGTATTGGGACGGAATCTCGAACGTGGTGGCGTCAAAACGGAGCCGACGCAGTACCGGTGTTGCTGATCTCCGCACCCTTGTTCAGCTCTTTGCTGGAGTGGATGCTCGGTGGCGTGTTCTCGTCTTCACTGGAGGTGTCGTTGATGCACCGTAGCCTCCAGTGAAGCGAGGAGTGGGTCAGATGCACCATCGTCCCTGGCAGTAAGAGATGTTAGTACTTCGGAAGTACAAGTTTGTATAAACTTTTCATTTGAAAACGAACCTCGTGATATGGAAGTCGGGGTCGTCCTCGTGCCTCCGAGCGCAAATTTGAAGTGAGCGGCCTTTCAGTTTGGCTAAGTACCCAAAGAGTGATGGTCAGCATACTAATTACAAAAACCGAGACAAACACTAAAGATGGCTACACGGCTTACTTCTAGGGGTAGGGCTATCTATCGAGACAAAATCTACAACTTTTCGGATTTATGCGCGTTTAAGTCCCGACATATCTGCTGCAGATACAGACAACGACGGTGAAATCCGCCCGGTGTCTGAACACTATCCTTCATACAAAATAAAAAAAATACGCGCGACAAGAATACCCGCCCAGTTATTTGATTGGTTGAAAGTGGCAGTTTCAGCTCAAAGTCTGAGCACAAAGTACAAAAACGATTCCAAATGTACAGAAACGATGCAGGAATCAGCACATCCTGGGTTGATTGTACAGAAACGCCCAAATACGACATACGGATTGGCTGAAAGCGGTTTCTTTTATGTTTGGACTCGGGCGTGTTTCAAAGGTATGGCGGATTTCACCGTCGTTGTCTGTAAGTCACCCGTTTAATCGATATTTGGCAGGCGTCCAGTATACCGCATTGCCCCTGTCCTAAAGCGAAGCTTTGTCCTAAGCGAACTTCGATTATGGCCAATAACAGCGCTGTATTCATAACAGATGGCTGCCCATTAAAGGGTCTTTTCGCGAGCTAATTAAAGGCAGCAAAATGCAAAAGGAAGTACAAATAGCCAGAGGTGTTCGACCGAAATACTATTAGCAGCTCTCACCAGCGGACCACTTTGGAATTTATGGAGGCAGGTCTTTCACGAACGGAACGTTCAACTGGATCAGTGTCGGATAATTTTTACTTTTTAGCTCTCATTATGAGATTTGCAAGTAATCTTACCCGTAAACGTCGAACATGGGCGTTCGCTTAGGACAGGGGCGATGCGGTACGATGAATTATACGCTGTTTACATTCAAACGAGTTAAGTGATTCTTTACAGTTTACTAATCGGAGAAGTTTCTTAAATTCTCTTCTTGTCATAATCTGAAGAAGCTGCTCCTAGTTTGCTCAAAATATGGAAGGCTTGCGCACTGCACAATATGCAGTGCACATCTACTGTACCCAGTGTGCACGGCACTGAAGTGGTACGATTCAGAAGATGACGCGAGGTGTCCGTACCAGCCTCATTTCTTCATTCAGCAAATACCACAGAGCTCCGTGAGCTGAAAGCGAGCATGAGGCGCGTCGTGTGGTTTCATGTGGTCAACCGCGAAGGAGAAGAGAAGGCTGGACCAACCAAAGCGTATGATCTACCTGCCGATTCATGTGTTGATCGTCTCCGGTACGTTGTAAAAGCCCAGTGTCCAAATGCCACGGCGTGCTGTGATGCAGCCAACCTTCGGGTCTATAAGGACACCACGTCACGACGCAACAAGCAACCGTTACACCCCAGCACACTGCTAGCCGATATTGAAGGCGAGACAACACTCATTGTGGAGTTACCACCGCCAGACCAGCCTCTTTTCGAGCAGCGCGGAGTGATTCGTAAGCGATTCGAGGAATGGTTTGCGTCCGATATGCTGATATCTACACCTAAGCGAATCAAACTCGACGATGCTGAAGAAGATATAGACGACGATAACGATGATGACGACGACGACCACGTCAGCAGTGACAACAGCGCTAGGGCCGACACCGAAGCTAAAGATCAGGACGAGGTAGCATCCGCTCAACAAATCCGGTACTTCGATATGGCCGATTTTCCGCCGCTTGTCAGTTCAGCGGATCGCTTTAAGAGGGTCATGGTGCGCGAGACCTACGACGTTATCTTCAATGGGGTGGTGGAACACGTGCAACATTGTTTGGAAAACCAATGTGCGGGACGTGTTGTTGTGACAGGCAACCCCGGCGTTGGTAAGAGCCGATTCTTTCTCTACTGTGCGTTTCAGTTGATCAAGGCGCAACTTGAAGTTGTCAGGTCTCTGCCTCCATTCGAACTGGTGTTGAACTGTGAGAAGTGCTACTTCCTTTATGAAGCCGATAAGCAAGCGTTCGGATAATTGGAAGAAAAAGAAATTGTCAAGCTTTCTTTTCAAAAAAATGTACTCCGACTTATCGACGGAAGCTCCACCAAGTTGAATAAATGGAGTGGAATAACCGCATTATTCGCTTCGCCTGGTCTTCCGAAATTGAGCGACTTTCGATGCAGAAACAGCCAAACTTTCATTATGCCAGTGTGGTCTTTGGAAGAGTTGAAAGAGTACAACACTTTATTGACTGCTGATTTGAAAGTGCCGGAAGACGAGCTAGAGGCTAGATTTTACAAGTTTGGTGGGATTGCGAAAAGAGTCTTCGCAAGAAACCAAGCCGACCAAATAATCGAAAAGGCAGAGAGCGACAATCTGCAAAAACTCTCAGAATTTGCCATTGCGCATTCGTCAGACACTTCGGGTTTCACAGCTTCACAACGAGGAAAGATTTTTGAGTTGCTGTCGCACAAGTGGTTCAAATCTTTGAGTAACGCTACGATTAAACTGCGCGGTTTGAGCTCCGATAGGGGAAGCTGTGTCCTGAAAGTTGAGAAAAAAATGATAAGTATCGACTTTTCCAAGCTGGACGAGATAAACGAAGTTCCGGAGCAATTAACCCGAAATCTCAGACGTTTGACGCGTCGGATGCGCTAATTATAGATGGTGTCAACCATAAGTGTTACGCACTGCAGATGACAATAAACAAGGATCATGGCATTCAGCACGCTCCATTGAAAAGGGTTCTCGATCGTTTGTCGGAAGCTGGTCTATCCCAAGAAACCTCTAATTTTTGCTTTGTGGTCCCAACGAGCTTGCAATCCGAATTTCGCAAGCAAAATATTGTAACGCAAGGTGGAAACGTGCACAAGAAACCTGGTCAAGTGGCCCGAGTTGCACAGAACGGGTTTGGTGTGGATGCATTCAGAGGCGGGTTCGCCTGGGCGAGAGATCAAGCGAAGAAATATACACCTAGTTTTTTTTGGAGTTCGTAAACATACGGACTAGCCACTATTAAGAGGATTTCGTACTCGGTACCGTTGAAGGAAAATTCTAAATACTGTGAATTGTAGCGCCCGTGCGCTCTCACACGAAACGGAACTCATGTCTGCCATCGAATCTTTTGATGCACTGAAGATGCTTGAATTTGCCAAAGCCAATCACCCTGTGAGGCAAAACCATTACAGCCACAGAGTATTCCAGATGGTCCCTCTTAATGCTTCCTATCTGGACCATTGGTCATTGTTCTTTCTATCGGAGTATATCGGCGTGTGTTTGTTTGGTCTATCTCGTCGCCCTACTACTAGTAATTGCCGCTTTCACATAGCTTAACTATGATATGGAGGTACAGTCCCAACAAAACTAGATAAATAAATGAATAGTACCGATAGACAAACATAATTTGAATGGAAATTAACGCTGGCAGCATGTCAAACTTAAAAATGGTAAAAGAACGTATCTGCTTCGCCATTTCATTAGCACTTAGCCAAAGTTTAGAATTCTCTGACGCAAGTTCCGCAGCGTGATTTCCTGTGAATATCTGGAGGCTATGGTTCACCAATCGTGCGTTGCGGTGTCGCTGCTATCAAGTGTCTGCTTTATTTAAAAGGTTCCGAAACTCTGAGTTCGGCAAAGCATTAAGCGAAAAAACAGTGTGCTGTGAAATGAATTAGCTAAATAATATTAAATTCAATCGAATCGAGAGCCCTTCGTGGAATACTCGTGGATTTCATTATCGCCGTGGCCGACGTAGTAGCCACTACGTACTTCGGAGTGCGTTTGTGCAGCGAATTCACAACTTCTGCCCAGCATTTTTAGTATTCTTCCAACACAATCACTACTTCAAAATATGTAGTACTTCCTCTGGTCGGAAATGATCACGCGAAACTGACAAAATGACCAATCGCTTCAGCTCTATTTATCCAATACGGCATCTGATTGGACCAAACGGAAGCCCTGCACCTCCTCTTTTTAAAGCCACCGGTTGTGCGCAGAACGGACTTCTATAGCCTCTGCAGTTTCAGTTTTAGCTCTCAAGGTTTCAAGCCTCGCCTGGAGTGCGACCCGCCACGCCTGCGCTACGCTGTTTCTTCCTCTAAAAACATGCCGAAGTCCAACCTTATCGACAACGAGCGCAAAAGCCGTCATTGACGAGCTTCTAAAGATCAGCAACAACAGAGAACTACCCCGTGAAGCTTTTGATGTTCTTATGAATCCAGTCTGTCCTTTTTTTAATAATGGGCTGGCCGGATTCGCATTCAGCGGCCAAGAACTGACCGTCTACGGTACGAACCCTCGGTGGCGGTTGGGGTGAGTTCGCGGAAGAATCGAGGCGAAGTACGTGACAAACTGAAGAGCATTCCTATCGGGGATAGAGCAGTTGAAAGACGTGTCAGTTAGTATGATAGGTTTTTTTAAATTTCTATCGAGGATTGAACAGTTGAAAGACCTATCATACTAACTTCGCGTGATCATTTCCGACCAGAGGAAGTAGCTTTTTTTCAAAAAACAACGCTGTCATCTTGAGCAGCACCTGTTGCCCGTACATGTTTAAGTACTTCTCTTGGTTAAGTGACGGCGAGCGCCGAAAGTTTCACCAGATCGTCACCCTCAGCTTTGTCAATAAGGTGCTCACCAACGTAGTCGGACACAAAGGTTAAATACGAGCCGTCGCGCAAGGAATCGCTGCAAGGAACCATCTTGAGTATACGATGAATGTCATCCTCGTCGGTCACCACTCGATGGGTTTGAGCGTATTTTACCACTGTCAACGCGTCGAAAAACGCGATAGCGGACATTTGTAGCATGTCCTCTGGTGCTTGATTTCTAGCAAAGATACATTTCGCAATCCCACCAAACTTGTGAAATCTTGCTACCAGTTCTTCCTCTTGCAACATCAAATCGGCAGGTAATAGCGCGTTGTACTCATTTAGCTCCTCCAACGTCCACACCGGCAAAATAAAGGTCGGGCAAAAATCCTGACACTTTGTCGCGTCTTTTGACGACGAGATAAGCACAGAAACCCCACACCAATGTTCCAGTTTGTTGGAACTCCCATCGATAAGTCGGAGTACATTTTTTTGAAAAGAAAGCTTGACAATTTCATTTTCTTCCAAATATCGGCACGCTTGCTGATCGGCTTCATAAAGGAAGTAGCACTCCTCGCAGTTCAACACCAGTTCGAATGGAGGCAGAGACTTGACAACTTCAAGTTGCGCCTTGATCAACTGAAACGCACAGTAGAGATAGAATCGGCTCTTACCAACGCCGGGGTTGCCTGTCACAACAACACGTCCCGCACATTGGTTTTCCAAACAATGTTGCACGTGTTCCACCACCCCATTGAAGATAACGTCGTAGGCCTCGCGCACCATGATCCTCTTAAAGCGATCCGCTGAACTGACAAGCGGCGGAAAATCGGCCATATCGAAGTAACGGATTTGTTGAGCGGATGCTACCTCGTCCTGATCTTTAGCTTCGGTGTCGGCCCTAGCGCTGTTGTCACTGCTGACGTGGCCGTCGTCGTCATCATCGTCATCGTCGTCTATATCTTCTTCAGCATCGTCGAGTTTGATTCGCTTAGGTGCAGATATCAGCATATCGGACGCAAACCATTCCTCGAATCGCTTACGAATCACTCCGCATTGCTCGAAAAGAGGCTGGTCTGGCGGTGGTAACTCCACAATGAGTGTTGTCTCGCCTTCAATATCGGCTAGCAGTGTGCTGGGGTGTAACGGTTGCTTGTTGCGTCGTGACGTGGTGTCCTTATAGACCCGAAGGTTGGCTGCATCACAGCACGCCGTGGCATTTGGACACTGGGCTTTTACAACATACCGAAGACGATCAACACATGAATCGGCAGGTAGATCATACGCTTTGGTTGGTCCAGCCTTCTCTTCTCCTTCGTAATTGACCACATGAAACCACACGACGCGCCTCATGCTCTCTCTTCTCTTTTGTGAACTTAAGTTTGCAATTTGCGACAAAAAATTCTGATAAAGTTTAGGAAAATTAAAAAACGAGTTGTTTTTAATATTAAAACGCTTGGATAGTTGGCTAGCAACTTCTAAAAGAGTAGATGATTTACTGGGAGCAATGTTCGACCCGCTGGGTTACCCGTCATATGACAGAATATTGTCAACATCAGGAATAACATGTTGTACTCTGAACGCATGGTGTTTTTTTCGGTGGGCAGGATCTACAGGAATAACACAGTCTCTCCCGTGGAATAAAGTCACCCGTTCGGAAAGTGGCTCATTTGCCGATTTACTAACTCTTTTCCAAGCCCACATACAAGACCAAGTCTAACTCGGACAATGTCGCGTCGAACGTCAACTGCATCAAGTGCTTCAGATACAACACTTCAAAGACCTTGGCGGGGAGTTCGCTCTCAGCAACAAGTACGTCAGCATGTAGAGAATGTACTCTCACAATTAAGTGAGGACCAGCTTCGACGTGAACAAGAGCTGAGCCGCTTCCCTACAACAGTACTGCACGACGTTGACAACGAGTCAACTGACACTCCATTCCTCGATGAATTTCGTGACATTGGTGGATCTTCTGGCATTAAGGAGATGACAACGTTTACTTTGAGAGAGTTCAACGAGCTTTGGTTGTCGGTGAGAGACTACGTTGTAGTCAACTACAACGTCGGAAGAAGTAGACGCTCTAAAATCAGCGGAAAGGACGCCTTCTTCATGACCCTGGTCACGTTGCATGCTGGAGGGACGTGGGAAACCCTCAGCAAGAACTTCCGAATTCCGACTGCTACGTTTACCGACACTGTAACTAAGTTCATACGGCTTTTGTCACCTAAACTGTATGTGGATCAAGTTGAGGCACAAGCTGACCCCACCACAATGCGCTCTGCTGTAACGTCTCGGCATACGTTTAAGAACTTCCCTTGCGCCTTGTACGCCGTGGACGTCACATTCCAGCAAAGCTGGCGTCCAGGAGGTTCTATCCAGGAAAACGGCAAATATTACAGTGGCAAACATCATTTGTATGGCCTGAAGGTGGAGGTGTCGGTTAACAGCCATGGGTACGCGATCAACTGCTCTGATCACGCCAAAGGCGCAACGCATCATGTGTCGATGTTCAAAGAAAACAAGTCATTTCACATTGGGAGAATGCTAAAGCTGCCAGGGGATAGCCAACTCGAAGACGAGGGTCCGTTGATCGAAAGGTTTTCTGATCAGTGGGCCATACTCGCCGACAAAGGATACCAAGGTACAGCACAATATCTGCGATGCATCCACCCCCAAAAAGGAAGAAACTTGACTCGTCCGGAGCTTGTGAACAACGACAGAATTTCTAGTGACCGGGTTATCGTGGGAAATTATTTTGGTAGGCTGAACATGTTATGGCGCGTTTCTGCGGACAAGTTTCGCTGGAGCGAGGATCTATATGGCGACGTTTTTCGAATGTGTGTTGCTCTCACAAACTGCCACATCGCGATAAGCCCTCTTCGAGACGAAATGGGCGACTGGTATCGGCAGTCCCAGCACAGAATGATTCAACTTGGCATGAGTATTAAAGAAAAGAGGCGACTACAACAGGCCAAATACCGTGCGAAGAAGAAGCGTCGTCTGATAACATCGCTTAACGATCTCGGCGGAGAAGAAGATGCAAGTGAGGACTCGCTGACTCAGTACTCGGACGAGTTTTGAACAGGTAAAACGATATCGAAACTGGTCGAAGCTTCATATTGACTTTTTTTTAGCATAAAACAGTGTACTTAAGTTGTTGTAAAAGCCCTAGCGACAGCCTTGGTAACATGTCCAAAATGTATGTTTTTCCTGATTAACATGATCTTCTGAAAACGTCTTTGTGTGCGATGGGTTACTACTCGGTTTGAGTAAATTGTTTTTACTTTGACAAAGATAGCATAATTGGTTATGTACCGCGCAACTTGCCAGGTGACCTATTGTTCAGACTTGGCCAAAATGTTGTCGTTAAAATTAGAAGCTGTCAAACTACCGCATTACGAGCCTATCGCCAGATCGGCTTAGACCCATAGATAGGGTGGTAGCTGGATGCCCATCATTGTCCCATTGCCAAGGTAGTGGCCCCACTCTCCATCTTTAAGATGTCAAGATGGCATCTTGACGGCGACGGTGGAGACCGTGTCTTTGCACAGGCGCGTAATGATTTTGAGCTCGTCCGACGACAAGCGGCCGTGCAACTGGATTGTCAGCGAATTCACGCCGGCTCGGTACATGTTCGTGGCTCCGCCGGCCCTAAAAGAATTCGTGCTGTACTGTCGAGGATACTCACCCAGGCAGGCGGCTGCACCTTGGATTTCCTTGGTGACACGGGCCACCGACACGCAGCGGGACCTCTCGTCCTTATACAGGAGCACGGCTGCCGGAATAGTTGGCGGCAAGCCACCGATAGATCGAAGGAGCAGCAGCACGCCTAAGAGTGGGCACAAGAATGGGTGTCCCGATCTGAACAGCCGTAGACTACCCGACCCAAGAAGACGGAAATTGGTATTGGAGCCTCTGAGTCGAATGCACACCGCCGATACCATTCGCTGTGGTTGCCTCTTCTGCGCTGACCACGGCGATGTCTGCTGCCGTAAGGCAAACTAGCTATATGTCGTAGATGTAGTGGTAGCAATTTCTGACCGACGTAGAACCAAAAAGAAGGCCAGGCTCAGAACTATCCAGATAGTTGGATTCGCGGGGACCTGAAGGGAGAGGGTCCGGAGGCACTCGAGTAGCGCGACGGACACGGGATTTGTTTTGTTGCGAGAGAGCGTCTCGTCTGCGCACACCGCGCTGGAGCAGGCGGGCCTGTAGATGGCCTGCTGGGAAGTCGTGCCCGACGACGTTGATACAAAGGGAATGCCATGAAGCGCGGACTTACTTGTAGAGCTCTAAACTGGTCTGTTCGATCTGAGGCCGCATTCGCGAGCATAGATGATAATATCAGAGATAGTGCGCACTTGCGTATCTAGTTAAGATGGAGGTGCCAGTGGATGCCTTGCCGATGAGTCCACTGCTTCCAGTAGCTGAAGGAACGAGCGTAGGATCGGAGGGAGAAGGCGGCAGCGGAGTGTTGGCGGAGATGTCTTGCCACGCTGTCTCAATCTCTTCTATGGACGACGGGGTCGGATCCTGTGGCCACACCGGCTAGCTTGATGAACAACTCACGCTCCCTGTCACCACAGCCAGCCGCCCACTCGGTCGTGGGGGGGGGGCACTTTAGTCGGGAACATAGGGCTTCAGCGTTCAGCATTTTTCAGAACAAATTTTGATTTTTGCTGTCAAAAACAGATCTAAACACCGATGATTGGCTCACTTGCAGCTAAAATGATGATCATGTTTTGCTAGGATTGAGTGGTGTGCAGACACCCAAGCTTGATGTGTTTTGGCCAATGGGGGTTAGGACACGTGTGGATTGTGTTGTAAGATGCGACATTGGTGTATGCTACGCACATTGTATGTGTCGTCACATTTTCAGTGTGTCAGACGTACGTTCTGTGCAATTTTCCAGCTCTCTCATTTCGAATGCGCAGCTGCAACCATGCATACAAATACCAAATATATTGGTTTTACAGCTCCTCTTTAAACTCGCTCCACAGTACACATTTAAAAATATGCTAGCGATGGCGCACAGCTACACTACTATCTTCAGCGGCTCCGTCACTTAGACTTCAGCTCGGTGATGGAGGTGACCACGGATGAGAACACGGCGGCCGCGTGGGCCTATGAGGTGGGGCTACTGTAGAAGACGGTGTTATGCTCTCAGTACGCTCAACCCGACGGCTCAACGAACATGATCGCAGCGATGGCAATTGCACGAAGAAGAATCATGTCGCAAGCTCTACACCTCATGATCGTGTGTCGTATGCGAGCATCCCATTCCCAAATCGCTCACATAACCAAGGTTAGCGAGGAGCACCGTGTCGGAGGGGTATGCTGTGCGCCGGGTACTGTGCTCAAAGGAGCTACTTGGCTGAACGTTCAAAGATAAAAATGTGCTGTAATGCTTCTAACGCTAGCTCCACTACGCTTTAGATTGGCGATGATGTTGAAATTTATAGTGCTGTAAGGTTGCAAAAGCGTAATGCTCACTTTGCTAAATAAAGCGCTTTTTCACTTTTTTAAAAAAGCAACGTTTGAAAAAACAGAGCTCTGCTTGGGAAGTAGGGCTTAACACTCGCCTTTCGTATAAGAATTATGGTTTTGGTGAAGTGGTCGCAGCTCATAACTTGGGCCAAGCCTACCATTAGCGTTGAGCAAATGCAATTATGACATTCTGTCATTTTGTGCTTATTATGGTACAATATGGCATCCGGTGCAAACATGCACCAAAATCAGACAAATGGCTATTTAAACAGGGTCAATGGTTATTTACACGAGATAGGAAGGAGGTCAGGACAGAAGGTGTAAATCAACCCTAACATCTTTTTTCAGTTTTTATTGTGATGCAAAATTATGCATTCATAATCTCAGATAATTCATCTGCAATCGGTGCCATATTATGGCAGCGATGCACGCATTTACCCAACGCCACTGGCAGTGCCATTGCATTATACTTGTTTATAAGATTGAATGGAGATGACGAAAAAGTAAAATCTAAAGCGAGACGTACTCTATCGCATTTGGCCATTACTAATAAGCGCTGCCAATGGACATTACAAGCAGTACATGTAGCGTTTGTGCTTTGCAGATGGAATGTCTCCCCGCTTACGGCTTAGGCCGGGTTCTAAACGCGTGTTAATTCCATGCCATGTCTCCAGAGACCCCCTGAGAGGTAGGTTGTGGATGCCACAAAAGTACCATTTATGACACGCCGCCGTGCCTTGTATTAATACTGCAATGGGCCCTCCATTACATAAGTAGGTAGATTTCTTTACATAAGTAGGTGCATCATCACACGACTAGCGTGTGCTGAAATGCTGTCATGCCA